TATCATGTTTTAGTGGGAGTATGTATTCTCGTTGCTTTATGTTTACTTTGGACACATTTGTGTATTTGGATACTTTTCTGTACAAAAATGAAGTATTTAGTTTATTCCACTCTGTTATTATGTTCAGTATTGATCTCATTTAAGAAATAAGGTTAGACCAGTTGGAAATAGACATGTTTGGATCACATAACATGTAATTTCCATGCTACACTCCCATGATTGATCTATGTCATTTGGTTGTATGGGTGTACGTGACCATTGATGGATTTAATCACACTAAATGTGACGAAAATCGCTTCGATCCTACATCAATGTGACTGATGGACGAGGTTGTTTGGAAATACCCTTAAAAATGGTAGCAAAAGTTTGAGCTCATAAAGTTGCACACATTTATAATATTACATGTATGGCTCAGTGGGAGATTGTTGGAAAAATTCCATTGTATGGGGCCATACATGTATATGTATTAAAATGTGTGGTGCTATCTTTAAGGATTAGTCGATAAGGTGATCCACTAAGTTTAATTTTGGACTAATGGGTATTAATTCTCATGAGATTAAAGTGTAGAGACCAGAATAATTATTTTAAATTGATGAGGCGTCAATTTTAAATAATTGAAAGATAATAATCAATTATTTAATATGGGGTCATGGTCCCCAATTGCATGCAAGTTTCAAAATTCTCTGCATCCCCATCAACAAAGAACGGATTTCAAGAAATCACATAGCAGTTGGAAGATCATAATCGCTTTCAAAAAACTCAGATCTATGGATCAAGGTACGCTTCCGCATTTATTTTGTTTTCTTATTGATTTCAAAATGGAGATTCAAGAATCTGGTTCGTTTCGATTTCCTAAAATACAACGCAAATGCTATCATAAGCTGAAAGCTATGAATATTCGTCCTTGTTAAGAATTTAGAATTTACTGCGTTGTTTTCTATATCAATGCTACTTGCTTTACCATCCAATCCATAGGCTATGTTCTCTTCAATCAAGCAGTTAAAAAGAAAAGGTTCTTGGCTCACTATACTGATCAGCATTTTGTAGATATTAGAAAATGTTTTAGAATCAAATAGTGTTGACAACATTGTCTTAAGTGAGATAACATGCTAGAGCATGCTTGGCGAAGCTTAAGGAGTTTACTTATATGTAAATAAGCTAGTTTTAAAATAAATAATTTTTTTATTGGTTTTAAAAATACCTAACTAAAAGCAAGACTTATTTCAAAATAAGTAATTTCTTTTACTCAAGCTGGGCCAAGCGTGCTCTCTATATGTCAAAAAAGAAGGAACAACAAATGCAAGAAATTCAAGTTGCAAGTGTCCTGTGTATTTCTATATGATTTCTATTGTACAAGAATTACATGGAAGAAATTCACATTGCAAGTAACCTATACAAAACTTTGTAGTACCAAATTTACCTTTTTATGTAGATGCTCATTAGATATTTCGACCAGAGGAATCCCGTTGAGCAATATCTTTCCCTTGACAGGATCATAAAATCTCTCTATCAATTTTGCAATTGTCGTATGGAAGTGATTATAACTTAATAAGTAGTGTCCCCTATGGAATTTATAGATGATAAATGGGTTGAAGTTGAGTGTCCTACAAATATGTGGATAAAAAGTATTTTAAACTGTTTAAATTATGATTGCAAGCCAAACATGCATTAGGTCTCCTTGAAAGAAAGGGAAAAGTATAAATATTTATTTTTACATATCAATCATAAATTTTTTGAACTTTCCAATCATAAATGCAACTTTCAACTTGAAACTTTTAAATCATAAATTTTTTTAACTTTTATCAAAATCTATTAAAAATAATTTTCAACAGAACCAAATGGAGACTTATTATTTTATGTCTCTGTCATGGCCAATGCCACGAAGACCTGCATCCCCTGACTCTTGTACAGGGGGAAATCACCTCTGTAAAGTGTAATTGAATAAAACTGGATGGACATGGGAAAAAAAAGGTTCAAAAAGCAAGCTGATTTGCATGATTTGATTGAGTGTTTTTGTGTAGTTTTTTCCCGACTTCCAATGTTGAACTGCCAAGTGTTGTCTGTCAATGAAAATCTATCATTAACCTTGTTTGTATATCTTAGTTGAGTGGAATTACATAGTGGGGGTGTGGGAACACTCTGTATTCTAGCCCACAACAAGCCTTTTGGGCAACAACATAGGGCCTGACTTTCGGTATTACCAAACCTCCATATGGGATCATATAATCAGTAATACCAAATTTTCTGATGCAGAGAATCCTCAAAGAGGCAACTGCAGAGCATACTTTTGATACTACTTAGATCTTGCTCTTACTTATTCATTCTGAAATTTTCACAGTTGTCAAGACTATGGAAGAACAAAGAAAGGATTTTAGAAGAACATTGTTAAGAGGAACAAACTTTTATTAAGAAGAGTTGAGCTCGAGATGATCCTCAATGAAAGATAAGAGCTCCTTATATAGAGGAGGAGCCTCATCATACAACCGACACAACCGACGCAAAACTAATAATACTACCAATGACTCATCACTTTTAGTACAATACTTATTACATAAGGACATGACTCACAACTTAAAAGGACGTGACTCATCACTTTACTAGCATGACTCACTACTTTTAGTATAATAATTTTACAACCATCTTTTAAAAAGTAAAGAATCTACTTTTTAAAAGGGATTTTATATTACAAACGACAAAATGATTATTTTACACGAGCTGCTAAGTCATCAAGGTGTTCCAAGATTTGCTTCTCGTCCAGGTTCATTTGAATCATCTGAATCAGAGGGGAGTCCATGTTACTTCCACCAAGGCCAAGTTGTAGTATCAAATTTTTTTTCAAAAAATTTTTCTTCCAATTTTTCAAGATTGTCTGGGCCTATTGGATCAAAATCATACGACTGTGTTCTATAATCATATGGATCTTGAGAGTCCTGGAAAACACTGTCATTATAATTTATTTCCGTGTTCAAATATCTTGAGTTTTGTTTGTCTGGATTGCTTGATCCTGATTTGTCCACATCCATTTTATCAATTTTCATTTTTTCTTGAAATTCATTCCAGAGATTGTTACACAGTTGTTGTCCTTCTGGTGTGGTTTCTGGATATTTAGATGTTTCTCCAAGGCATTAATGTGGCCTTCCCAAGTAAAGCTGGTTCCAATGGGTTTTGTCACTTTCCCAAGTAGCAGATGGATAGTATCCAAATACTTGTCCAAAAATTTGGCATTGTCCTTCTCTGTGTTTCTGAATGTCTTGCTGAATCTTGGTTGCATAGTCTAGAGGTAGAATTTTCCATGGAGTATCATCTTCTATGTCTGGCCAAATTTGTGGAGGAATTGTCTGGTTGATTTCAGCCATTTTTCTTTGAAATTCTCGAAACTCCTTTGGATACCTTTCCCAATCTTGATGGAAATTGAAAGGTTGGACTGCATACTCCTTGACATAAGAGAAGTGTTTATAAGAACCTATTTCTGTAAAATATCCTTGCCGCTGGAACATCAGAATTACAAAAACATTGTTTTGGGAAGTTCTCAAATCTTTAAATTTTAAAGAAAATGCTTCAAACATTTTTATCCAATGAAAAATAGGATAAAACCATTCGAAAAATTTCTTTGCCTCAAAATGTGCTTCTTGAAATGGATCATTTTTGTTAAAACTTCGAAAAGTGATTTTTTTGAACCATTCAAGAGATTCACAAACATTAAAAGAAACTCCAATTTGAAAAAGTTCCAATAAGTACCACAGAAAACAAAGTAATTCCTTTGAAAATTTTGAAACTGCTTGGTGTGGGATTATATTAAAAAATGGATAATCTTGATGAAATCCAAGACCACCAAGAGTTTCAATTCCTGTTTGCCTGATAACAATGGACTGGTATTTTAACATGAACTCTTTGGTTCGGGAATGGAGGGTTTTGTCTCTGATGAGAGTATTAAGTTCTGGGGGAATTTGTTCATTTTGAGAAGGCAAATGAAAAGGAAGGTCTATCATACAGATTACAGGGATAGGTTGGGAGTGAAAAGCTTTTGGTCTGGTGAGTAGGTCTGGAAGGAGGTTGGTTTTTCCCTTTATATGTTTGACATCAAAGTTAAAGTTTGAAAACCATTCTGCCCATCTGAGTAGTTGAGAATTTGGAATTTGTTTTTGTTTGAATGAAAGCATTTTAGGGAATGCTGACATGTCCATTTCAATAAGAAATTTGTGTCCAATGAAATGAAACTGAAATTTCTCAATACCACGTTTTACCGCCAAGATTTCTTTGAAAGTGGAATGATAATGTTTTTCTGCTTCTGAGAATGCTCCACTTTTGTATCCACAAATGTTTCTTTTTCCATTTTTCTCCTCCAATAGAACTGCTACCCAATATAGATCACTTGCATCAGTTTGTAAGATCTTTTTCCCGTTAGTAGGGATAGATAGAGCTGGAAGTTCTTGCACCTTTTGTTTGATTTTTCGGACTGCTTCTGTTTGTTTTGAAGACCACGATGGTGCATCTTTTTTCAGCATGTTCTGCAATGGTCTGATAATAGGAGTTAAATGATCAACAAAATCGGCCATGTAATTTGCAATCCCAAGGAACTGTTGGACTTCTCGTTTAGAGAGATCTGTGTCTGCAAACTTTAACAATTCCTGACCAACATGTGGTTGTAAAGAATATTGACCATCTTTAATATGCATGCCCAAGAAATCAATTTCAGAGACTCCAATAACCATCTTTTTCTGAGAAAGCATTACTCCAAATTGTTTTGTCAGATTAGCGAATTGAGACAACAGCTGAGAATGAGAATCGTCATGAAAAAAATCTTTCTAAGCCTTTTAGATTCCATGGGAAAACTCACGATCCAGGATCATGAAAAAACCCTTGAAGAATTAAAACAAATTTTTCGCAAGAAGCTATTGGGTACGACGTTTCTTAGTGTGATGGATGACGTCTGGGGCACCAGAGTTTAGGATCATGTGAAGCGATTGTTTTCAAATAACAATGATAAGAGTCGAATCATGATGACAACTAGGCTAGGAAGTGTGGCCCGTAAGGCAAGCCCTCCTCCTCAGGGACCTCATCACATGCGTTTTCTAACCGAGGAGGAAAGCTGGAGTTTATTTTGTGCGAATGTTTTTGGAAAAGATCGCTGCCCTTGTGAACTCGAACCAATGGGTAAGAAGATAGTCCAAAATTGTCTACGACTGCCACTTGCAATTGTTGTGATTGCAGGACTTCTCTCAAAGGCCACGAGAACAGTACATCACTGGACAAATGTTGGAGAAAATCTGAGTTCGCTGATAGATTCAAATGGTGAACAATGCTCAAAGATACTATCTTTAAGTTACAAGAATTTGCCTCATCATTTGAAAGCATGTTTTCTCTATTTCGGAATCTTTCAAAAATACTCGGATATCAATGTTTCCACACTTTTCAAGTTATGGGTTGCCGAAGGATTTAAAAATTCAGCAGAAAATAAAACTTTGGAAGATATGGCTGAGGAAAACTTGTTAGATCTTGTTGATCGGAATCTTATTTTGGTTTCTGAAAGGAGTTCCATAGGTAAAATCAAAATGTGCATGATCCATGATCTGTTACATGACCTATGTGTGAGAGAAGTTCAAAGAGAGAAGTTTTTTCATGTCACGGACTGGAATCTCCATAGTATTCCCAATGGCAATAGCCTGCGCCGTTTAATCTTACCAAGTGTTTCAGTAAAGTCGTCAACTGATTGGCAACTCAGTGTCTTGAATTTGGGAACTGATCATCCAACTGAAATGGCAAAATTATTTAACTTACAGTACCTCGCTTCTAGCTACGTTAATAATTGGAGGCTTCCTGCATCAGTATACAAACTCCGATATCTACAAACCTTAATTCTTTACGACACCACAGTTCCAGTATCTCTGACACCCGAAATATGGACGATGACGCGGTTGAGGCATCTCCAGTTGGGGAAATTTATTCTTCCTGATCCTCCTAGAGCTGAAAATTCTGTTATCGTTCTTGAAAACTTACAAACGCTCTCCACTCTGATAAAATTCAGATGTACAGAGGAGATCCTGGAAAGGGTTCCCAATCTCAAGAAATTGGGAATCTGTCTGGAAGATGTACAAATGGGTTTGGAATATTTCTATCTCAAGAATCTCGTCCATCTACATCGACTTGAATCTTTGAAATTCTTATTTCTCGTGTCGACGCCATCTTTCTTGGAAAACATCATTTTCCCGTCTTCGCTCAAAAAATTAACTTTAGATGGCAGCTGCATCCGTTGGGAAGATTTGACGACTATTGGTAAGTTGCCTTCTCTTGTGGTGCTCAAACTCAAAAATTTTGCCTTCTATGGAAGACCAGAGTGGGAACCAAATGAAGGAGGATTTCGTCAACTGAAATATCTACTGCTTGACAAAGTTCGTCTTCTGCACTGGAGAGCTGACAGGGACCACTTCCCAGTACTCGAGCGCCTAGTCATTAAGAACTGCCAAAGTATGTAGGAGATCCCTAGTGAAATTGGAGAAATTCTAACTCTTCAAACGATCGAGTTGCATTCCTGTAATCCTTCACTTGTAACTTCAGCAAAGAAAATAAAAGAGGAACAACTACGGAAGTATGGAAATGAGGACCTTCAGATCCTTATTAATAAGGTACGCAAGAAGAGAGACAAAGCTGCATCTGACCGGAGATACGAAAGATTTGTGTCTAAGCAGAGGAACAACAGAACTTCCCCTCTTTGCAGATGATACAGGAATTTTATTAATGAATGCAGTATTTGAAACGTGTAACTTTGAATGTCGCTGATTCGTTTGGTTCTATCATGATTAATTTCTCGATTTTACATATTTCTCTTCTTTAGTTGTTGATTCCTCTAGTCGAATGAGGAAGAGATCCTCAACGAGCATGTTATTTGGCTTATTCGAAAATAATTTGGTCCTTGATCCTTGATCCTTTATGTTTTAGCATGGTGAAAACATTTTCGATCATCATCATTATTTTCTTTAAATGAATTATCGAAGATAACTTTCTTCACTTCTCTGGAGTTGTCAGTAACAAGCAATTTTTAATATAATGCAAAATCCCACAATATTCAAAAGTCGGACTCATCTCCTCCTCAACATCCGGCTGGAGAAATAATCTCATTGGCAAGTTAAACTCGTCAAGTGTGGTAGGTGGATTGTATCCCAACGTAGCAAAGACATCTTCAACTTCGTGATCAATCATTGCTAATCTCTTGTTTCTTTTTGTTCCTTATAGATGAAATAAAGATCAACAAGAAGATTGGTTTAAAAAGAAAAAGAAATAATCAAATAAAAGATAGAAATGCAGTAAAAATTTGTTGATTTTATATCTCGCAAGTGTACGGATCGAAAGAAGTAATAAAATGGACTTAAAGTCTGAATTATTATTTTTATGAGGACTAAAATTTAATCATTTATTCAACTATTCTTATCTTCGATTTGATTAGAAATAAATAAATGTGTTTATCTTCTTTTTATATTTTTTATTTTAAATAAATGAAAATAATTAATAAGTGCATGCATGAATTTTTAATGATGGTTTAAGTGTTTGAATTCACAAATTGATAGTAACTATCCTCTTAATCTCAATCATCAATTTTTATAACAACTAATTATGTGTACTCGTTCGAAATCTTTTAAATTAATTAATTTGCCTCTCTCAAGTATAAACAATCCTAAGCACTTAAGTCAACCACAATATCTTTATGTGTGTTCGAATAAGCATTACTCAAAACTATTCAATCACTAAAAAATACATCTAACGATCATGACAATCATAAAAGTACATCTCTATTTTTTTATTTTTTTATTTTACCCAAATTGCAAATTTTCACTACATGATATAATCAAATAACTCACAACAATTAGTGTCCTCCTAATTCAAAGCATTAAGAATAGAAGTAAAAATTATTCACACAACAATTAGAGGTTAAAAATTCATAATTAAAATTAAAATTCAAAACTAAGTTAAAATCATTCATCCTAACTAATCAATTAATTACATATCACGCGAGAAGAATAAAACAATATGGAATTAAAGAATGTTGCCGATTTTCAGGAAAAATGAGAGAGAGATGATCTTGCACAAAAAATTTGCCTTCTTGTAAAAATCTTAAAATCCTAATTTCTTGATTGATTCCTTGATTTCCCTTTTGGGTTCTTTTTCTTATAATTGGTATGATTGTTATGTTCCAATAGGCCCCTTTGACTTGTATAATGTGTATAATAAATCCTTGCAAGCTTCCTTTCAATTGTTGTATTCAGGCATCTATTTAAAATACAAGGTTTACGTCATAAATCCTTGTTCATCTAAAATGAGTTTGAGAAAAGCGAAACAATTCCCTTTTTCAATGAATAACGCTATCATCACCATTGGTGTTAAACACCAATTTATGTTGCAATTACATGACATTAAATGATATATTCATTTAAATGCAAAGTTGATTGACTTATTTAATTAAGTCTATAAAGTATAGTCATCTAAACTAATACTTTAATATCACTTATGCTAAATAGCATTATTCTATTTCAACGGAGTCCTTTTTATGCAATATAACCTTCATCTTTTAATCTTCACGATTTAATATTGTTCATCCCAAAATTATTAATAATTGACCAAATAAAAATTTCAAAACTTTACAATTATTCCTTAAACTTTCCAAATATTGAATTTAACTTCTGAAACTTATGAATTTTTATCGAATGCGCCATTAATATTTTCATTTGATCAATTACAATTTGATTAATCTTCAATTGCTCTGAATCAACTCCAATTAAACTCCAAACGGCCATTTTTCATACCAATTATATCTCAGTTGGGATTTTTTTCTACAATTTAAACAAATTTAGTCGACAACTGCTGAATTTACATATAATTGAGAAAGAATAAAAGTACGGATAGGCCTTAAGAAGCAGTCATCAACTACTATATTAAATATATATATTTTTTAAACTCTAAGTATCCATAGTAAAAGCTCAATGTATTTTAAGTACTTTACCGCCAAAGTTCCTCTAATTTGACTAGGAAAGAAAATATCTATTAAAATCATAATCCACTTCCAGTTTCTTTTAAAAATAAAAATAAACATTGGGACAAGAATCATGCGCCAGAAAGATTTTGAGACTTAATTATTAATTTCTCGATCGGAATATGTTCTCTCACAACTAAGTACTAACTGCAATCTCTTTCTGGTATGCTTTTCTGGGACCTGTCCTCCAATATAACTAGCCTAACGATCAATGCCCTCAGTATATATAAAATCAACATCTACAGATTTTAATCCCATACAGCATATTTAGAATCAAAGACTAAGAACTAATCCCATACAGTGTATATAAATCGACATGCACAGAACTTAATTTCAAGTTTACTGCTACGGGTATAGCTTAACTATAGCCCATGACTAGATTTCGTGTTTTGGCCCTTGTAGTTGCCTCCTAACTAATGCTGTGTAGATACCATTCTTGTCCAGGAGGTCATCGTGAGTGCCACTTTCCACTATCTGCCCATCAGAAACCACTGCAACAGTGTCTGCAGTCTTTACAGTAGAAAGCCTATGAGCTATGACTAGCACGGTCCGACCCTTCATTAGAGAATCCATGGCATCCTACATGGTACAATAATACCATCACGCAAGTTAAGAAACTCAAAAGTTTAAAAGTTACTTTACTAGATATACGTTCGAACTTAGATTACTTTTACAGATAAGCAAGCTTTGTTAGTACAAATAGTAACTCTCTTTGACAAAATAAGAAGCTTAAAAGCAAATTTTTACTTCTTTTTAAGCTTAGCCAAGCGTGCTCACCTGAACTAGATATTCACTTTCGGCATCCAGAGCACTAGTTGCCTCGTCTAAAAGTAGGATTCTGGGATTCATCAGAAGAGCTCGAGCAATGGCGATTCTCTGTTTCTGGCCTCCAGAAAGTCTCACTCCACGTTCCCCGACGTGTGTTTGGTATTTCTCAGCAAACTTGGCTATGAATTCGTGGGCATTGGCCATTTTCTGTTTGTCAACGCAAATGCTATCATAAATTTGCTGGAAGCAATGAATATTCGTCCTTGTAGAGAATTTAGAACTTACTGCAGCGTTTTCTATATCAATGCTGCTTGCTTTACCATCCAATCCATAGGCTATGTTCTCTTCAATCGAGCAGTTAAAAAGAACAGGTTCTTGGCTCACTATACTGATCTGCATTTTGTAGATATTAGAAAATGTTTTAGAATCAAATAGCATTGACAGCATTTTCTTGAGATAACACGCTAGAGCATGCTTGGCCAAGCTTAAGGAGTTTACTCATATGTAAATAAGATAGTTTTAAAACAAATAATTTTTTATCGGTTAGAGTTAAAAATAACTTAACTAAAAGCAAGACTTATTTCAAAATAAGTAATTTCTTTTAATCAAGCTGGGCCAAGGATGCTCTCTATACGTCAAGAAAGAAGGAACAGCAAATGCAAGAAATTCAAGTTGCAAGTATCCTGTGTATTTCTATATAATTTCTATTGCACAAAATTACATGGAAGAAATTCACATTGCAAGTAACCTATATAACACTTTGTAGTACCAAATTTACCTTTTTATGTAGATGCTCATGAGATATTTCGACCAAAGGAATCCCGTTAACCAATATCTTTCCCTTGACAGGGTCATAAAATCTCTCTATCAAATTTGCAATTGTCGTCTGCAGCACATTAAAAATTGTCATACCCATAGTTTTCTTTTTCCTTTTACCCCCATAAATCAGTTCACCTATATGATGTTTATTACAGTGACATGAAAATGGATTATGATTGCAAAGGAACTTCAATATGACAAAGAAATACCTTTCCACCACCACTTGGACCTACCAATGCGACCTTAAAACCAGTCTGTAGTTTCAATGTTATCCCCTAATCACAAAGATGTACAGTACTTAGCATCATTTTTGGAACGATTGTGCAACATGTACATAATGGTTTACATACACATTATGTAGTGAGATATGATAAGATCAAAATTTCTTCAACTAAGGGGTGGGGGGGGGGGGGGGGGG